CTCCCCCCCCCCACAAATAATCCAACACCATTTGTTACAGAGCATTGCGGAAGTTGGTTGATGATACTGGGAGTACTTGGGACGAATTTCTTGGTGACATTTTATTTTCTTTGCGATCAAAACCAAACATGAGAGCCAAAATGTCACCCTTTCAACTACTGTATGGCTTTGAAACAACATTCCCAGACCATGTCTTAGAAAACGACACACTATGTTTCTTTAAGAGCCATCAGCTTTCAGGTGAATATGTTATTCTGTGATTGTTCATTGTACAAACACAACTTCTCCATTTGTTTACCAAGCCAACAGATTTTGAGGAACTCGATGAACCATTCTACAAAGGGTACATCCTAAATATGGAATCTAGACGTGCTTCTGACATTGAAATGGGTCTTACTAATATTTCTAAAGCACAAGGAAAGCAACAGATACAGTATGCCAAAACTAAGACTCGTAAACATGGGATAATAACATTGGGAGGTTGGGGACAGTGCCATGTTACTGAATGCGCGAAGGAAAACAAGAAAGGGAGGGGCGCTGCAACCTACCTACCGTGGACCATACAAAGGCACCGCTGTAGAGGGTAAAAGAGTTAAATTAGAAACCATCTCAGGGAAACTTTTAGGATTTATGTACAGTATCTCCCCCTTAAAACTATTTAAAGAGCCCCCAACATTAGGTGCTGAAAACAGATTACAGGACAACATGGAAATGGAAACTGCCGTGGATGAAAAAAGTCTCCTCCGAAGAGGTAGGAGAAATGGGAGGCGATGTGTCCCACAAGCCTCACAACAGCCAAGCGATAAAGGTGGAGGTCACAGACATGGATGAAAAGGAGTGTTTTTTGGCAGAAGTTGCAAGCAGTGATCCAATCCAAACTATGACCCCCCCAAAAAGGAAAAGTATTTGCAAACAAGTTAATTTGTTTGGAGTAATCAACAGGAATGAATAAATCAAGATTTCTATTTACAGGTTTAGTTCCAGTGGAACCATCATTTGACAACGTTGTATTGATTTTTTCCAGAGAGCATGGAGGACTGTGGCTTATAAGGCAATTATGTGACTTGCAATAAAATAAAATAAATAAAGCTGGCATGATGGTAAGAAACAGAAAATGGGGTATGAGAAACACACACCAAATCCCCAATGAGATATTACCCCAGGAGCTTGCCGGAATCTACCCTCCATTTGATCAGAAACCTTTCTCAGTCAAGGCAACAGGACAAGTGCATTGCTGCCTGTGTGTGTCTGCTCGGTTGATGGACTGTAATGGTCAGAGATCGCACCAGCATAGAAGTACATTGAAGACGAACCCTAACGAAATTAAGATTTTAAATTATCCTCCACGGGTCCCGTGTCCCACTACGATGATTCCAGGCAGGGTCGTTTGGAAGCTGAATACTTTAAGCTTCCATCCCACAGCACTGTCAAGTTTTAGCAAACTAGGACAAGTCAGCACATAAGAACAACCATATGTATCAATAACTGCTAATGGTAACAATTCACTACCTCTCCCTACTACAGGCAGCAAATTCCTACACGGAGCAGTTTCACACACCATAGAATGTGAGAAACTGCTATCTGTAGCAATTAGCTACATCAGATAGTTTCTAGCAAAATAGGACCTGTCCCTACTCCAGGGAGCACATTCCTACAGTTAGCAGTTTCACACACCTCTTCCTGTAAGAAACTGCTCTCTGTAGGAATTTGCTACATCAGATAGCAGATTTTAGCAAATTAGGAAAAGTCAGCAAATACGAACAATCTTATGTTCTTGGTGGTGATGAGGGACTTCAACTCCCCAGACATCTGTTGGGAAAATAACACAGCAGGGCACCGATTAGCCAACAAGTTTTTTGAATGTATTGGATGCTATTTTTTATTTCAGAAGGTGGAGAAAGCTACTGGGGGGGAAGCTGTTCTAGATTTGATTTTGACAAAGAGAGAGGAACTGGTTGAGAATTTGAAAGTGGAAGGCAGCTGGGTGAAAGTGATCATGAAATGATAGAGTTCATGATTCTAGGGAATGGTAAGAGGGAAAACAGCAAAATAAAGTCAATGGATTTCAAGAAGGCAGACGGTAGCAAACTCAGGGAGTTGGTAGGTAAGATTCCATGGGAAGCAAGTCTAAGGGGAAAAGCAATTGAAGACCAGTGGTAGTTTTTCAAAGAGACATTATTAAGGGCGCAAGAGCAAAGTATACCACTGCGTAGGAAAGATAGGAAGGATGGCAAGAGACCAGCCTGGCTTTACCAGGAGATCTTCAATGATCTAAAAATCAAAAGAGTCCTACAAAAAGTGGAAATTAGGTCAAATTACAAAGGATGAATATAAACAAATAACACAAGTAGG